ATGAAACAGAAGCACTTCAAATCAGGGAACTCAACTGCTAAAGGCATTCAGAGCTGTCAGAGATTAGGTGAAGAAACTTGACACAGGCAGAAGGTACCACAGGGCTGGGCGTCACCTTCCTCCACCTTCACTTTATGGCGCAGAGTCTTCTGACAGGTAGCCTCTAGCTTTGGCAATTTCTCTCAAACAGAGAACTCTCCAGCAAAGAGCTCGTTGCATACCAGCTCTTGGGAACTGAGGTCAAACGTCCTGCTGATTAAGGAGCAGATCACCCAGGAATTGAGCAGGCTGATGAGAGCATCTCTGATGTGAAGAAATGCCTACATTTAAAAATTGTTCTCTCACCAAACACTACCTCAAAAAAAAACCCCAACACCTAACAACCCAAAATGAAAAAAACCCGGCCTCTTCAAGGCTGCAGACTCTGATGTGGGAGAAAACCACTTCAAGCTAAAGTTTGACTCCAACAATTCGAGAAATTCCTGATAGAGAAGATAAAAAATGTTGTGCTGCTAAGCTAGTACACTGCTTGTAGTGGTAATGACTGCATCTGAGTGCTCAGGGAAAGTATGTGCAGATCTTTGGTTTCCCTGCACAGCAAGGCACAGACCAGTTTTCAGGAGAAAATCCTGAATCTTTGCTCTTTGTTGCCCCACTGAATTCTTCTGTTACCTTCCCTTGCTGCTTTCCAAACCTGTAAAGAGGTTTGACACACTGTAGTAACAAAATCTCAGTTTAAGTGGGATTGTTTGCAAGGATGTGATCAGGTTGGGATGATTCTGAAGTCCAGAGGATGTGCAATCACTTTACACACTATTCAATCCAATCAAAAGAGTACATATTAAATTTTCCAGATATAGTGTTTGTTTTGGCTTTGCAGCCCAAAATGAAGTAAAATGATGTATTGTTTGGCGTCTGTGCAAAATAACTCATGGGTGGTTGGGTGTTTTTCAGCATTTTTGTGGCTTCCTGTTAGGCACTCACAGTCCCTTTTTCTAGTCGTTATGTTCTCTGAAACAGGAGGAAATTGCCACAAGAGCACCTGTAATGTGTTGTTACATACTCAGGCAACTTGTCAGCTGCTGGAGTGGTTTTCTGGGTCACTGGCACCTGAAAGGGTGAACATGGAGGAGTAAAATACTATGAGACTTCGCCATACACAGGGAGCTGAACAGCCAGACCCTTGGGGTGGCTCTGCAGAAGACAACATTGTCAGAGACAGTGTGGCAGCTAGACCCTCCTTGCATGAGGCTAATAGTGTGCTTTGCAGTGTACAGCCTCTGAAAGGCAACAACACAGTAGTTACTGGAAACCTTGAGGTATGTTTGCTTTTGGCAGGGAATTTTGAGTCATTTATTGTCTCTGCAGCATTGTGCAGCCACCTTGTAGCACTGTTCTTAAAATTAGGCTATTTATTCAGAGGATTTTTAAAAAACGTGATACATTTCTGGTCTAGCCATGGTTTTCTTCTTCAGACTCTTCTGCTGATTGCTTGGTTTCATTTTCTCTTTGTACATTTGAACTTGCGAACTTTGTACATTTGAATGACGAAACATGTGGCCCAGAAAGCTAATAAAACAAGATTTTCCTGTGGACAAACAAGTGTAGTGAGGCTATTGTTGCAGTGATACTGATGCACTGACCCAAAGGTAATGGTAAACAGTATCAGTAGCAGAAAGAAAGCTGCAAAATAAAGACTGTATTTTTTTTAAATACCTCACCAGTACTTCCACATAAAGGATGCAGACCTCTTCAGAAAAGGTAACCTGCATATGCTAATGGAAGCAATCTTATTGCTGTTGATGACAAACGATTTCTACCTAGTGAGCTCCTATCGCATTGAGCTAAGGGGAAAAATCTTGCATTTCCTCTGCTGTGAAAAATATCATGCTGCACTTCTTAATTGCTGTAGCCTGACCAACTGGCTGGGGTCTTAGGCAAAATAAGAAGAGAATTCTTGTTCCAGGTACTCTTGGATGTGGCCTACATTTACTTGGGCTGGCAGGGCTTGACAGGGCCTGACAGTGCTCTGTGGGAGAGATCACCAGCCAAATGCCCTGCTGATGCACAGGGAGTGCTTGGCTTCTGCTGGTGAATGGTGGAGGGCAGGCTCCAAGTGAAAGTTACCTTCAGAAACTGCATACACGTGAGACAGTTCAGCATGAAGTTATCTTTACACACTGAAGACAATGCAAACTGAACTAAGCCCTGCTGCTGAACAGGTGTAACTGTCCTCTTTCTGTCTGTTTCCTGCTTGTAAGAGACCTGTGTTGGCTGTAGTTGTGAATTAATATAATTTTGGAAGAAGTCATAACTGTGAAGACAAGAAGTTCTTCACTTGCATTTGTCTACCACCACTCTGACAAGCAGAGAACACTTTCTTCATGGCTTCGAGTACGATGGCTGGATTTGAGTGCTAAAACCCACACAGATCCTGTGCAGGCAAATACATGTTGGTAGGAGCAGAGAACCAAATCAAAGACAGCCATGCTTTGAAATTTTTTTTGTATGGACATGAGAAGAGGAGGTGAGATTTAAAGTAAATCACTTGTCACTACTATTTGGCAAACCACAGTGACCTCAGAGATGTCTTTCCTTCCTGTGCAGCAAAGTGAATCTAGATTGTCATCAATGCTATTCTCAGCAGGCTGGCTGCAGAAGGTGAATTTAGATTTAATTATGTTATTATACAGTATGTGCAGGAAAAAGACTTAAGGAGGGACATCATGGGACCTGTCCCAGGTAGAAGTGCATTAGATGTGATACCAGGTCTCAGCAAGGGCAAGGAGTGAGTTTCTGTGAGTGTGAGTGGCAGCCCCTTCTTCCTTCTATGCGACAATAAAACAGGACAATTGTTTTCATCTTCTTTACTTTGTATCCTCCCTCAGGAAACCAGTCCAGGGTCCACTGTCTAACGTCCATTGCAGTGACTACTTGCAAATCTTCGCAATGAGTCCAGCAGTACTGGTACATGCCTTGTAACACCATACTCCCCTGAGCACAGAGGCTGTGTTTCCTCCCCAGGGAGCACAGCGCATGAAGTCGACTTAGGGTGGAACATTGCCTAGCACCCTGCTCTGTTACAGTAATGGAGCATGTTGGACACACAAGTCCTTGGAAAGAGCAGCTTTATGCTTTTTTAGTGAATATACCATTGTCAAGACTGTGATGCTGTCTATTCCCTTCCCCGAGAGAGAAGCAACTGTGCTCCAGTTGCTTTGTCTCGCGCCAGGCATGGCAGATGAGGAGGCAGAGTCTACGCACCCCTGGTCTTTCATCTGAGTGAACAGAGGGGTGCCCGCTTGGTTATCATCGTGGTATATCAGCTAATAGCTGTTACTTCTCCTTTGTACCTTGTTGATGGCACAGCGACCCTTGTACCTCACAGACTTCACTGACAAAGGATGCTTTGTCCCTCCCTAGAGAAGACAGGCACCCTTTTACACCACACAAGATAAACATTTCAGATGACTCTGGATGTTTTTTAAAATCACCATCAGCACAGTCTGCAAGAGCACAAGACTGGGAGAAGTCATTCTCTGAACTGAGTAACTTCTAGCATTCATAGTGCATGCAGAGAAGCAGAGAAGCAAAGCATTATTTCTGGTATGTATGACCAACTAGATTACTTCGTTCCTATTGTGGACAATCAAAAGGGAAGACTGGGATTAAATTTATTGTAGTGAAAATTGGCATATGTAGATAAAGTGCTTAAAGAAATGCTGGTTTCCTGAAAGGATGGGTTTCACACATGGGTGTGAAACCAACTGCAAAATGGTTTTATGTAACTCCTCCTGATTGACTAACTTTGAAAATGTAGACTCAAAGCCCTAAGGCTAAAAAGTCCCCTTTACCATCCCTAACCTTCAAATTATTGCAAGAAAATACCATCAGAAAAAGAAGGGCTGGAGTAAGATCTTTGGGGCTATGACGTCTTTTTATAAACCTGGAATTGCTCGCTGGAATTTACTTGAAATTAACAGGAGAATTTCTTTGCTTTAAGCTGCTACCATGAACGAGTGATTTTAGTTGAGAGTACTGATCTCCTCGCTCTTCCAGTTCAATGCAGTTGCTAACATTTCAAAACACAAAGCTGCTTACTCTGCATGAGTGGCTGCTGCCTGCCTCCAGGAGCACAACTGGCTGGATCTGCCGTTTGTACAGCACGATGCTGGGGGGCTAGGCTTTCAAGGTCCTGGTTACCTCTCCAGGGAGAGCACCTGGTGCACTACACATTTTCAGAAAGATTGTGGAAGCTTTAAAAAGTTTAAATATTTGAGGCCTCTGTCAAGCTGGTTTGCAACTGCACAAATGTTTGCAAATCTCTGACGCTGTTCCTTGTTCCCTCCATGACAGTGACAATGGATTGGAAACCAGCCCATAATACTGACTATGGAAACGGTAGGATGAGGAAAGGGGCACTAACATATTCAGCTGTTTGTTGTGTCTCCAATTCTGAAAAAGCACATTGCAGTCAAGACAATTAGAGGGCTGTGTCTCCAGGTTTTGCTTTTATATATTTCTAACACGATCTCATGCCAGGCTCCTTCAACTGCAGTGCATGGTAAAGACACGATGGGAGAAGAGGCCAATGCCATTACAATGTCTAATGAAAAAATATAAGTACAGTGACGCTAGCTCTGAACACTGCACATGGTCTTCAGTTATTGCATCCCATGTGGCTCTGAGAAGATCATTAATAATTTGCAGTAAGACATGGCTTCTAATTTATCTAATTCTTTTTTCTGTTTAAAACAAATGGAAAAAGCTACATAATTAATCTCCTTACAGCTCACGTTGTATCAGAGAGGGCTGTGCTTTTAGAAGGATATTCACTCCTCCAAAGCATCAAAGCATGTACTCCATCATTTAGGAAGAATGCTTAACCAAAGACAGTCTGCTTTCATCTCTGATAGCCTGATTAAGAGGGAAAGCATGGTCCCTACAAGGAAGATCAGATATGTTAGGTGCCGCACAGAACAGAACAGCAAGTAACTTACCACGTCAATTATCTGCAGCAAAGAAAGCCGGAGCTCGACTACAAGGGGTTGAGAGTCATTTACTACCGGTCGTTCAAGACGATTGTAGTTTCTCAGCAGTTCTCTGTACAAGCGTCTCTGGCTTTCACCCTGCTGAGTGACTAGGGGAAGAGAAAGAAGTCATCTGTCATTCAGGCTTGTAACCTTGTCCCCATTATTTGTCTGTTTTGTTGAACAATCCCTCTTGATAGGTTTGTAATTTGAAAGATCTTCCAAAAAAAATCCATAAAATTTTGCACATGGATGTGACAGACACAGCTTTGCTCCATCCTTGACTGATGAGCTCTTAAAAAAAAAATTAACTACTACACTCTAACTCATTTCTAACACTCAGAAACTACTGAAAAGCCTTTGGGGCTCTGAGTAAACGTCCCCCTCCCCTGGTGGCCCTCCTGTTGATGATCAGTAGGGGTGTGGCTCCAAAAACACCACACAGCTTCCAGGTAGACAGTCAAAGTGCTCTTCTTTGCTTGGTTTTATTTCCTAGAGATTGGCTGCTGTAAGCTGTCACTGGTATTACTTGGACATATTGTGTGTTTACCCAGCGTGAGTAACACGTATTCTTATTTCTTGGAGCTGATACATCAGACCCTTTTCTGTGTTCAGGGAACAGTAACAAGCCTTCTTCATACCCTCTTCAGTTATGCATGGCAGTCTTTCCAGGCTTTGGGGTTGTTTTCCCTTGCCTTCTTTCCTTCTGATGGCAGCACACTCTGTTAACACCTACTGATGTGGTGACACGCAGGCTAGAGTATTTGACAGGTTTGTACAATGATATTTAATTTCTGGTGTTACACGCTTAACTCAGCTTGCACTAGGAACAGCCTCCACACAGAAGCTGTCATGCAAGCATATGAGCATGTTAAAGATTAGTAGAATTTCAGTCTGTGCTTAAATTGCAAGATGCCCCTGTTCCTGAGCTGTGGAGTGGGTGTGGAGAGCACGTCTAACCTGCATAACCAGGTTTCCTTACCACAGCAACCATGGATAGGACACGGTAGCAGTGATGGCTTGGGTCTCTTTCCATGGGAGGGTGAGCACTTTGCTGGGACACATTGCCCAGGAGCTTAGGTCCCACAAAACAGTGTAGATGTTGGTGCTCTGGCCAGTGGCAGCCTGAGCTCTACCTAAGAGCTGCATCTAACAGAGGGTGGGTCATGGGCTGCAGGTTCCCTGAGGATAAAGCAGTCTTATGAGCATGAGTGCATATTCCCTGAACTGTAGAAATCCAATCCCTGGCAGGGAATCTGCACTCTAAATTATTGTTACTATGGGCTCAAATGTTTTTTATCCACTGCAGCTCCCAGTCTGTGTGTGTGACCGTTTTTAACGCCTGAGCAGAGCTCTGCACATCGAGACCAGGACTCCTCTCACAGTGGTTATGATGAATATCTTTTGACAATGCAGACAAACTGTAACAACCAGCTCTGCTTTCCTCAGACTTTTACTGTGTTCAGCAAACCTTGCAAGCCTGGAACAGGCATGCCTTTTAAAGCTAATAATAAATTTAGTTTATAAACTGTTTATAAGTCTGTTTAATTCACGTTCTCTTCAGTTTTACTGATACTAAAGGGAGCTTTGTGGCTTTCCAGTGTGGCAGTGCCCGGTGAACAAAGAGGAAGAGTATTTTTGTTTATTTTGGTAAGTTACACCAACACATCATCTTCATGGGCCCTCTCTGCTCTTGCATACTACATTACATAACCATGGAGATCCAGAGGACCAGATGCTGTAAGCACTGCTCCAACAGCCCTTGCTGACATATCAGTATTGGATGCTATGTTTTCACCATGAGAAAAGACAAGCTCTGGCCACAGTATCTCTTCTTCACCAGCTTAAGTAAGCTTCTCTGCAAGGCAGTGATTCAGGTTCTCTGTTACTGCCTCAGTACTTGCTTTCCAGTGCCTTAGCAGACCCTGACTCACTTGTAAGAGCCTTCTGTGGAAAAGAAACCAGTGAAAATCACTACACGTTGTTCTATGGAAATAGACTCTATGTTTTGAGCAAATTTGCTGTGCTTTCACTCACCTGCCCGCTCCACCACTGTACCCCTCCCTGTTCCTGCACTTTGGAGAAGAAATTACTGACTGCAATATTGCTCTCACCTTGAGTACTTATGTAATGTTTGCCTTTAACTTTCCTTTTAAACTGGTTGTCTCAGGTTTTACAAGGGAAAAGTGCCCTTCACCAGTCTCTGAAAGTCAGCTAGACTGCTAGCGTGCCCTGGTACCATTGCTGTCGTGATGCATTAAAGCAGCACTCCCAACGGAGGTCTGGCTTGGAGAGATCTGAGTATAACCCTTTGCTGTGTGCTTCAGGAAGCTGTCTTTGTACTGTGGGCTCCAACCATGCTGAAGCCAGGCCTCTTCCCCTGTTAAGCTTTGTGAGCTGAAGTAGCCCAGTATTGCAGATTTGTACCTGGTTTTCCATCCTTTCTTCAATTCTTACCTCTGTAATATGATCCTATTACTTTCCAACCTTTTGTATCCACAATTGTTAACATAGCCTTAGCTTACGTATTCTTAGCCTGCTGAGTTGGCATTGGTGACCACATGTTTGTGTGCTGCCTGGTTTTGCTTACAAAATTACATAGATTCAGAAGCAGTGGAGCCTTTGGAGTGTCCTGGCAAATAGCCATGGCAGCTGTTGGTACCACAGAGACCTGGCTAGTCTAATCACACTGCCATGTCTTTGCTCCAGTTGCTTTGGAGAACGAACTGAGGTGGGTGACAAGTCAGATTTTTATTTTCATAGACTTTTTCTTTAAATTGTAATCTTCAAACACTTAATGTTTCATACTCCAGAGAAATTTCTGCTTTTTTCCTCTCTAACGCCTGTGTTTGTTAATCCATTGCGACACTACATCTCTGTGTGCTAAATGGAGTGTTTGCTGGTGATGTAGAAGTCTGGATCTCCCAGGAGCAGTGGTAGAATAAGCTTTACCACTGCCTACCCCTCAGTCACAGAGATCTAATCAAATGCAATGGCACTGTTTCATCTTTTAAATTAGGCTGGAAGATGGACATTAATATTTAGGGTTGCCAGGCCAGTCTCCCAAAGCATTGCCAGACTTATTTGCCTATGTATGTTACAGGAAAGTACAAGTAAGCAGTAAAGTGCATGGTGCTTTTGAGATAAAGGATCTCTGAGCAACAGAGAGCCTTTTATGTCCTGCTGCCTCAGACAGTGTCTCCTGGTTTCTGAATTATCTTTGAAGCAGCACGAAAACATACATTCTCAGTAAAATTTGAGGGAAGAGCAGCGTGTGATATTTGTCTCACGTTCAGCAAGACTTTTGACACCAAGTCCAAGAGCATCGTCAGACATTTGTCTATGCCCTACAGGTTAGATAAGTGAACAATGAGGTGGATTGAAAAGTGGCTGAACTGTCAGGCTCAGAGAGTTGTAGTCAGCAGCACAAAGTCCAGCTGCAGGCCAGCCAGTGGTGGAGTACTCCAGGGCTAGATACTGGGGCCAATGTTGTTCAACATCATTGTGAATGACAGGACACAGTGCGCCCTCAGCCAGTTTTCAGACAAAACAGGGAGGAGTGGCTGACACAGAGCATGGCTTTGCTGCCATCCAGAAAGACCTCAAGAAACTGGAGAAATGGCTGACAGGAAACTTCAAGAAGTTCAACAAAAGGAAGTGCAAAGTCCTGCACCTGAGGAGGAGTAACCCTAGGCACCAGGATAGGCTAGGGGTCTACTGGCTGGAGAGCAGATTGGCAGAAAAGCCCTGGGGATCCTCATAGATACAAAGCTGACCTTAAGTTGGCAATGTACCCTTGCAGCAAAGGCCACCAGCATCCTGCGCTGCATCAGGCAAATCCTCAACAGTAGGTCAAGAGAGATGATCCTTCATTTCTGCTCAGCATTGGTGAGACACATATGGAGTGCCAGGTGCAGTTCTGGGCTCCTCAGTGCAAAGGAGACATGGAGTTACTAGACCAAGGACTAGGTTGTCCCTCAGGCTTTACTCTGTGATTAACCTGAAATGGTTTCCTAAACTGCTTCTGCAGTTTGCAGGCAATTGGGAGGCACAAGGCAACCAATCCACAGCAGGCATGGAGTCCCCTGGTGGTTTTGTGAAGAGCTCTATGGACAACAGAGGTATTCATGGAGTATGTTCAGCTCTTAAATACCTCGCTGAATCTCCTCCCATGCTTCTGTGTGTGCAAAGACTGCAAAAAGTCAACTTATTGACCAACAAGACCTATAAAATGCTATCAATCTGTCAAGAATACATGCTATAGTTGAATTTCATCTTTCTTTCTGGGATGGAATTGCTGAGAATTGCATAACCTGCCTAGGAGTTATTTCTCTATTGCAGAATGCTACCACCTCTTCTAACAGGAGATAGAAGAAAATGTGGGTTCCTCTAAATGCATTACTGCGAGACCAGGCAGGTCCCCATGTAGGGTGGTGCTGTGTGGTATCCTCTGTGCTGATCAGGGACTCCTGTGATGTGAAGGAAGAACCTGTAGCAAGGAAACAGAAGATAGCAGCTTCCCTATGGGCTCATTTCTGAAATGTATCTGAAAAGCAGTTCTTCTCCTCCTTTGTTCCCCTACAACATGCTTGCCTTGAATTATTTCAGCAGG